GCAGATGAAGAAATAGGTAGCAATCATTACTGCTTCGGAATACTTTTTTCAGAGGAGTTATTGGCCATACCCCACTGTTCTCGAGAGTTTCATTGTGAGCAGTAACTATCTATGGGGTAACAGTCCCTGCCCGACTCGAATGCATCTGTTCTTCGGGAATAGCAGAGTCATTCGAATACACGACTGTCCGTTGCGATGCCCTACTGGGGCCCTTGATTCTGTTGTCAGCGCTTTGATTATCTCAAAAAGGCTTCCTCGAAATGATCTGTGCAGTTCTTCAGAGCTTAGGTAGAATAAGTTCTTTCACAAGAATTCCTCATGGCTTGCGTTTCACATGAGTTGTGATAGTCCTTCTGAGCTTATTTTGGTGTAAATGTTGTATGTAATTCACAGAGGCCTTCATGTCTAAGTTTCCCACTGTTTTTTTGGAGTGTGGGGTCTTCTACCCGATCGGTATACGTAGTTCCTACTTCGTTTCTCGCTCCTATTCCTATTCTCCCGTGAACCCTTACTAAGTCCATCCGACGTGTCCATTCAGATCACCCGCTATGATGTGATAATCCCCTTCCGGAACTGATTTGACAGCATCGTCAAGGCTCAAGTAGGCTCATCCCTTTCGCGTTCGGGGCGACGGATCTGAATTTTTAGGTCTTCCGGAGCTACTAGTAGTCGGAAAAGCTAGTTCTTTGAAGTTCTGCTATTCTTTCGTTTTCCTATTTTTCTCCTTCAAAAAATTTTGTCCGAACTTAACGCACTTCATAGTCAGAGTTCAGGGGCTGCAGTTTGTGAAAGCCAAGGTACACCTACAATGTGGCCACCCAATTTGAACGTGTAGGGATCCCGCAAAACCACGACCATCATCATTTCGCTTGGGGGAATGGATGTTATTGTGCAGATCAGTGGTCTTGTTGGCAGCGAATATAGGATCTTTGAGGGACTGCCAACTTCTAGGGCCAGCGTGTTTCTTGGAAGTTACCTGTACTGTACTGGGTACTTGGGTGTTCGTGCACTTCATTAGATCGGCAACCTCTCGTGACTTTCCAGTAAGCAAACCCGCGTTAAGAATCCTAGAACCAACTTTTTCCCGAGTCATTCATTCCTCGGTAGCTCTCGTCCACAGAACACGGGATAAAGACCTGTGCACCATTTTCGGGTAAGGTCCTATATTTAACACGTATTTCTTTTGACACTTTAGACATGATTGTTGTGACTGCTGACAGCCATCAGTCGGCTTGTCAATCTGGGCCTGACACTGATACCGGCATCACTTTCTTGAGGTTTTTTGCAATGCATGGTTTTTATCTCGGCAGGGTACAAACTTAGGCTTTTTGAATGCAGACATGGGCCTACATTACGCGAGGGATATCTATCTTTTCGAAGCGGGCACTGCTCCAACTAGTTGATACCATCTCATACTTATGCATATATGCAAATTCAGGAGGAGCAAGCAGGACCCAGCTCATCTCCTATAAAGTTACTAGCGGTCGACGTTATTCAGAAGCATCGGTTTCTAGAAGAATTACTAATGGGATTAGACATTTCAGGAGAAGCGATTGAGCTTTACTATGTATTGTTTCTCAAACGAATAGCTACATTATTAAAGTTCCAGGTGTGGATGTGATGCGGATAGATGAATCTCGTGGGGAAACAGCAACTGATCATATCAATTTTATGTCAAAATTGTTCTCTGATGGTGAGCTTAAGATGATGCGG